TGAGAATAAGTTTCTCAAAGATCATGGCTTGAGTGCTTCAGGATCTACAGATATAATTTTAGAATCTCCTATAGAATCAGAAGCAAACCCTTCTGACACTAACCCCACACAAAACTGGTTGTTGAATCAGTTCCAGTTAGAGTATCTACGAGAGAGAGAGAGAGAGAGGGTTCCCAAAGACTTTGGCAAAGACTTTGTCACTTACCATCTAGAGGATGATCCATTCTTTTATTAGGAAGCAATGAGATATAGGAAATCTCTACTGTGGGCAGAAGCCATATATGATGAATGAGCTCTCTACTAATTTTACTTGGCAGCTAGTCAATTTATCGAAAGGGGCTAAGGCTATAGGTTGTAAGTTGGTATTGAAGAAGAAATTGAATAGTGATGGATCGATAGTCAGATACCAAAGCATATTTAGTAGCTAAAGGCTGTATAGACAATAAAGTAAAGTAGACTATTTTGACATCGACTCACCTGTGTGCCATCTATCGACTATAAGAATTCTTCTTGCTTTGACATCTATTGAACACTATGTAGTGCATCAAATGGATGTAAAGATAACTAGTGGATGACATGTTAATTCTTGGCTCTGATCATTCTGTAGTGAGTGACATGAAAGCTAATTTAGCTAAAGAATCTGACATTAAAGATGTTAGTTTTGCTAATACCATTCTATGTATGAAAGTAAGCATTGAAAGGCAAGTAATATCCCTTAGCCAAACTCATTATATTGAGTAGCTACTTTTTGCCTGGGGATACAGTGAGTGCAAACTAAGTGAGACACCATGTGATTATAATAAAAGACTGAGTCCTCATGAAGGGACCAACATGGATCAGTTAAAGTATTTAAAACTGATTGGTAGTCTCATGTTCATTGCAAGTTGCACTAGACTTGACATAGCTTTTACAGTTGGCATGCTGAGTTGTTTCACTAGTAATCCTAGTAAAGAGCATTGGGATGCCCTCGATAGGCTGATGAGATATCTTAAAGGTATTAAAGATTATGCTCTACACTACTCTGGTTATCCTTCAATTGTGGATGGATATTCTGATACGTCATGGTGTTCAGAAATCAGAAATAGTAAGTTCACCAGTGGTACGTATTCACTTTGGGTGGAGCTACTATTGTTTGGAAATCCAAAAGATAGACTTGTATTGTATTATCGTCTATGGAATCAGAACTTTTTGCTTTAGCCTTAGCCGACGAAAAGACAAAGTGGATAAAGAATCTAATTATGGATATTCCTCTTGACTTGGCAAAAGATTAATTCTTTAAGCCTATTTTGTTATAATCAAGCAGTTGTCCAAGTTGTTAAAAAATGCTCTCTTTAATTTTAAAGAGAAGACATATAAGACTGAGACATGTTTTATTGAATTATCTGAGAGAACAAGGAGTTATCACCTTGATCGATGTGAGATCGAAGGATAACTTAGCCGATGCTCTCACAAAAGGTATGCCTAAAGATCGATTATTCAAAACAATGGGGGAAATGGGGTTAAAGACTGCATATACAACTCTTAATTACCATTTACTTACCTTTTAATTGTGTGTTTTGAATTATCGAATCTTCATTTTGTTGGCCAAAATGATAAGCATTGTTTATATGTTTCATCGATGTTCATAGTTGCTGATTAATTTGAAAAAGGTAAGTTGTCTCATTCCAAACTTGATGAAGATAACTTGAACCTGATTCAAAGGTTCTACCTGAAAAACTTGTGTTATTCCAAACTTGATGATACAATTCAACCAAGTTGGACCATCCTTTTGGTTAAATGATCTCATTCCAAACTTGATGTTAGATTATTTGACTTTGAGGAATCAATAATTGTGACATTCCAAATTGAGACATTGAAACAGTTGTTTGCATAAGAAGCACGTGGATCTTGTTCTTAATTGAAACTTGACATTACATGACTAGGTTATTGTAAATGACTTGACTACTGGTCATATTCATTGAAACTAGACAATGGTTATTCTCTTACAAATAAACTTAAGTTGATGGCTCTTTGCAAAACAAACTATTTAGGCCTTGTTCTTAATTTATGAAACTGGCTTGATGCTTATGAACATGATATTACAATGCTTTATGGTATTAATATATGTTCTTCTTTGCCTTATGATATGATTCTAAGTTCTTTTAGTAGAACTAGACATCTTTGGTAAATTATTCAACCGATTGAATTCATAATAATATGAAATTCATATTTGATATTCTACAGAGGATGACAGAGATGGAGGAGAGCTTAATGAGAGGGATCTTGACTAAGATCACCTCCTTGATGAAGGAATATATCATTTAGAGTATGTGGGGACTTGATAGTTCACCTGTTATTGCCCATTTTGATGGAGCCCATTTATTTGAGACTTACATTTTGCTATCTTTATTTTATGAACATTGTTGATTGTGAACTGATTTTGAGACTTATTTTGGATGTTGGGATTTGGATGAGTTTAGATTGAATCTAAAACTCTAAATATTTATTTTGGTATGTTGGTCTCAGAACAGATTCATGATATTGATGATTTATTTATTTAGATTGAAAATGACGATTGAGTTTAATATTTTATCGTTAAAACTCTTTGATTATCCGAGTTAATTGTCTTGGACTGGACGTGAATAATTCGTATTTGTTTGAACATTACATTGATCACTCTATTGGATTGTGTTGTATGGTGAACATAGGAGGAGATTGTTGGATATATTAATAATATAATCTAATAGTATGTTCACATACAAGCCCAATAGGTGAAAATATGGTTATTTGGGTCCATATGGGCTGGAGTCCAATAGCTTGCATTATCTCTAGGGTTTCCTAAGCTGGAGATAACAATGTTAAGCATTTCAAAACTTGGTGTAATACTTCAAGCACTTCTAAATCTTTCTCTCACAAACTCATTACCTCCAACATCAAATAGGAATCCTATGGAGATCCAAATTCGTTTTTAAAAGTGAGGGTCATATATCATTACTTATGTAATAATAATTATATCATCTATCTATATAAGTGAAAAAAATACATCTTACATGTAACAAAAAAACATACATCTTATAGCTTTGAAACTTACTTTTTAAAATGGTAAATAAATTAATCTCATTTCTTAAATTTAAATTAATTTAAATATTTATCTTATGACAATTGAATGAATATATTTTTTTTTTAACTTTCAAATTTTGATTAAATTTTCCTCGTTTGTATAATACTCATACAAATAACTTTAACTTTGGCCACTATTAAGATTTTTGTTATATTATTTCATGTATTGCACAAGTGTTAACTAGTTATAATTTTAAAGAATTTTGATCTTTTAAAATGCAGGGTATAATTCAAATGGGGAAAGGTATAAAGTTAAGACAGTTAAAATTGTGATAAAATATATGCATACAGAAAACAAACTATAAATTTGTTAAAATCTATTTCTTTTAGCACAAAGTGCAGCATGTTGCTTCAATCTATTTATCTCAAGGAAAATATTAGAGAGAAAAAACCCTTATACCAATTTGAGAATTTGGAGACAGTTTTTTCAATAAAAGACTCGCAAGTAAATTTATAGTGGATAAATGGATCGTAGCCTAAATGAACTTCCTCAAATACTTGTTTACCAAAAAATAAACTTCCTGTTACGACATTAGTATAGGAGAAAGGGTAGTAGTAAGGGTAGCAATTTAATGTTAGTAGTTAACTATTGTTAGTAGTGAACCATGTTAATAGCTGATATGCCCAAATAGTGGCAATTGTGTTGCTGTGTGTTGCTGGTAGTGTAAGTCATGGACTGACGTGTCATTCTGTTGGAGTTTGTTAGTAAACGTGGCATAAATGCCTGATAGGGTCATGGAGAAGTTTATCTTGAATATACAGAAACATTTTCTTTTCGTTTTTCTCTGAATTTCTTCTCCTTTATCTTGTTCCATATCTGTTATGCCATTTTAGGATCCGCTATCCTAACATTGGTGCTTTCATCACTGTGAACTTCACCATTTTTCTGCAAAATCATGCTTTCATCTCGTTGAACCTTGATTTTTGTCAAACGTAGAAAGCGATTCAAGATGCAAACGAGAATGGAAAAATGTCTCGTTGAAGATCGAGCTTTGTTCTCCAATATTAGTAATCTGTTGCAGCGAATTCACACTGCAATTCTGGGTACTGATGCTTTGACAGCAAGCGCAACACAATCTTCGTTGGATCAAAGAGCTCTGCACCATGCTCCCAAGAACGCGGCAATCTTCGAAGGAGAAAATTGTTCGGGGAAAAATGTGGTGCTGCAAAGTTGCTTCGAGAAAATCAACCATGCTCCCAAGAAGGTGTCTGTTGATGTTGTCGACTTGCTTGATTTGGTGGATCTGCCACAATTGACCTTCGGCGAGGGCATTTCAGAGAAAGGGCCACCGAAGTTAGAGGAATGCGACAACAACTATGTGAAGGTGATTCCTCTGTCAATTCACTCAAATCCTTTGTCAACTAAATGCATGAAATCTTTATTTCGTGGACCAAAAATGCATTCTGGGTATCAAGGAGTTTATAAAGATAAGGGCCTCAGCTACACGAATCTTCGCTCCACTCTGAAGAAGCTGTGTATGTGGCAGAAGAAGCTGTATTATGAAGTCAAGGTTAAGGAGAAATTTTTCTCACTTCATCAGAAGAAGTGTAGGCAGTTGAGACATATAAATAAAATTGGTGTCGATGCACACAAAGTTGACTCTGTTCAAACTTTCATTGAGATTGTTATTTCTGGTGTTATCGTAACTGCAAGACATGTGTTCAATGAAATGCCTAGCCTAAATAGAAGGTCTTGGTTCATGTTGATATTTGATCCTTTGTTCTCTTGGGACCCCGGAGGATTTCTAGTTCGTTTTTCTCATTGGACCTTCCCGGAGTTAGTTGAAGATCGACTTTTGTCAGAATTAAGGGTTGTTGATGAAGCAAATGTACCTGTGGTGTCAACTGATTCTTTTGCTCTTGATATAGCACCAGAAGTTGGTGGTCTGATGGTTATGGTGCAGTCGTCTTTTCTGTGGGGGTATCTGGTTTATCCTATTGTTGAAGGGGTGTTGGTGGATAACTATGATGGCAAAGTGGTTATGGCTTGGGGTGTGGCCTTGTGGTCATTGGCTACTTTTCTCACTCCCTGGGCTGCAAAGACCTCAATTTTGGCTCTGTTTTCCGTGTGTGCTTTGCTTGGCATGGCCGAAGGAGTAGCTTTTCCTTCCATGAATAACATGGTAGCCAGATGGTTTCCTCAAAATGAAAGGGCAAAGGCTGTTGGAAGTTTAATGGCTGGATTTCAGCTTGGATGCGCGATAGGGCTTATGCTTTCTCCTATTTTTATGTCCCAAGGTGGTATATTTGGTCCATTTGTGATTTTTGGATTATCTGGGTTTCTTTTGGTGTTGGTGTGGTTGTCTGCAACATCAAGCACTCCTGACGGAAGTCCTAAGATATCAAAATATGAGCTGGAGTATATATTGAATAGAAGGCATAAGTCTTTTTCAGTGGAGACAGTTAAACTTAAGAAAGTTAAATTGATCCCTCCATTCAGACGCTTGCTTTCAAAGCTTCCAATTCCTCTAATTGTTGTAAATTCCATGCATAGCTGGGGACTTTTGAATGTTCTTTCTTGGATGCCCATATACTTCAACTCAGTGAATCATTTGGATCTCAGGCATGCAGCATGGTCTGTGATGGCTATCATGAATTACCTAGCTTGCTTTTGGTCAGATATGATGATACAAAGTGGTACAAGTGTTTCTTTGACTCGTAAGAATATGCAGTCCATTGGTTTTGTTGAAAGACCTTGTTTATCACCAAATGAGCAGGAATTGGAGCTAAAACCATACTCAGAAATAGATAGGGAGCTAAATGGATATCTTGTGAAGGTGCATGGACTGATCTCTGCTGGTGTGACAGATGAAATGTTTTCTAATCATCCCAAGGTACCTGGTAACACCAAATTGGAGGGTGATGAGCCAAAGAAAATAGTTTGCCGCTTATATGGCTACCATTCTGATGATATGACTAGTGAGGTTGATGAATATGTGGATGCTTTAGCTACCATGGAGTAAGAATTGGAAATAGACAATGAGTGTAAAGAAGAACTAGTGAATATTCAAAAGGTAACTGCTTCAAATGGCAAAGAAGAACATCAGCTGCAAACTCGATTTTCTGCTTTTCAATTATTTGGGGACTCCTTGACATCTGAAAATATTAGTTCATTTGAGCAAGACAGAAATGAAGACCATAATGACTTGCAAGCTCCTTTCTTAAATTCTGAGTCAACAAGAACCTCCTATGCATCAGATGATAATAGTTCACTCAGAAGAGATAGAAATGAAGACCATACTCAACCGCAAGCTCAGTTCTTAGATTCCCAATATATTGGAAACTCTTCCACATCAGATATCAAAGATATGCCAATCAACTTGGTTTCCCAAACTGTTGAGTGGGAAAAGACTTATTGTGGTGAGTTTGTCATGCTTGATGATGCACAAGTTCATAAAGAAGTACAGAACTGGTAGTTGTTCCTATTTTTTTTTTCATAGGACCTTGAGGACAAGGTCCATTTTTGAGGGGAAGGCAATGTTACGACATCAGTATAGGAGAAAGGGTAGTAGTAAGGGTAGCAATTTAATGTTAGTAGTTAACTGTTGTTAGTAGTGAACCATGTTAATAGCTGATATGCCCAAATAGTGGCAATTGTGTTGCTATGTGTTGCTGGTAGTGTAAGTCATGGACTGACGTGTCATTCTGTTGGAGTTTGTTAGTAAACGTGGCATAAATGCCTGATAGGGTCATGGAGAAGTTTATCTTGAATATACAGAAACATTTTCTTTTCGTTTTTCTCTGAATTTCTTCTCCTTTATCTTGTTCCATATCTGTTATGCCATTTTAGGATCCGTTATCCTAACACTTCCTCAAATACTTATCTTACAAGAATAGTAGACCACATCCGATACTAATAATAAAAACAATCTATGTCAAAATTCTCAGTCCAATTGCCTCATATTCTGGGCCATTTAGTCCTTAAAAATCTAATTTTTTGGCCAGCCCATTAATATTTTAAAACAAATTAAAATCCCTTTTCATTAACACCTAACTGGAAAAAAAAAATGTAAAACCATGAGGTGACTTTGGATTATCGCTTGCTTTGATAAATGGGTTTAATATTTTTATTTTTACAATAAAAAAAAAATTTCTACCGCACTCATAAAAAATTAATGGTCCTTCATTTTTATGTAAGTATGATAATATATATATATATATATAGGGTTCGCTTTTTCTGCAGTTACTGCAGATAAGTTATCTGCAGTAAGTCCAATACGACGTCGTTTTGGGGCAAAAATATGATATTTTTGTAATTTTAATTTATTTCAGGATTATTATAATCTTTATGATTATAATTTTTTAATCTTTCAATTCTAAAACGACGCCGTTTTAGGAATAAATGCAGATAACTTATCTGCAATAACTAAAAAAATATTTTTTTGATATATATATATAAAATAAGAATACTTTTCGCTTAATAAATACCTTAAATGTTCTCCATTTCTTTTTTTGGACAAGAAGATCATGTCAGTGTCATGGTAAGGACCCCATCAACACTTCGAGCTAATTATGATAAAATGAGAAAACGAATCCCCACGAATAATTCCCCATTTTTTTAATTAAATAAAATTTTCATTCTTGAACTACCTTTAGAGATCTCTTTTGATATAGAAAATTTGAAACTCTAATTTTATAAAGGCAATACTGAAGATCCATAAAATTATGAAATCCATATCTAAATCAATTCCTTTGTTTTGCCTCTTCATTGCACAAAAGTACATTTCAAACCAACTTTTAGCTCTTTTTGCCTCAATGAATTGTGCAGAAAATCACAAAAACAGATGCTGCACCTTTGTTTTGCAAGCCTCAGCAAAAATATTGAAGGACTGACATAGAAAAAGTACTTTCCAAGCCTGGAATTGGCCTAGGAATGTTTATTTAAGAAAAGCCCAAGAAATGCTTTACATGGCCAAAACTGGTCTACATCAAAATTCTCATCTACCTACTGATTTTAAATCAAACTCTTTTAATTTGCTTAGTTAAGTCTCCGTTGAGGTTTATCCTGTTGAAATTTTGCTTTGTAAGAGAGATTTTTCTTCTGCAATGTAATAAATCCGGGATCCTCAAGACAGCTGAACTTGATAACTAGGTGTGTATATGTTCCTTCCCAAAATTTCTAAAACAGCAACTTCTACCAGCAAAATCAGGCAATAGACATAAAAGTCAGTGAAAATAATGGAACTTCAACTTGAAGATTTACAACTTTCAACAACTCTCCTAATCCGTTCAATAACTAGAGGGATGTCCTCTAAAGTTATAGTAGCAAAACAAATACGAAACCATCCTGGTTCTATGCAATGGCAGGCTGAGCCAGGAGTCATATTGATCTTAGCAACACTCATAAACTTCTCCCATAACTCAAGTTCTCCTTTCTCACTATAAGGTCGGATTAAGCCGCTCATATCAGCCCAACAGAACATACCAGCACTGCTCTTGGCACACTTGATTCCTAGTTTACTTAAACTATCCACAAATTCATCATGAACTTGTCTTAGTCTGTTCCGGTTCGTTTCAAAGTACTCCTGAATAAATGTTTTATCGGAAAGCATTGAAGTAACTAACCTCTGGGTGGGAGCAGATATAGAGGAAAATCTACTTATCTTCTTGGCAGCAGCCAAAACAGTGTCGTTGAATGAATATATTACCCCAACTCTAAAGCCAGCAAGCGAGAGATCTTTCGACAGGCCATATATTATATGAACACGGCTCTTGTCTATATCTGAATCAAGAATCTCAGCTAGGCTTACGAACTTCTCACTTCCATATGTGGAGCCTGCAAATACTTCGTCAGCTATGATATGAATGTTTTTCTCTTCAGCAAAGTCTAGAAGATTGTAAAGCGCATCTTGTGTCAGAATATTGCCAACAGGATTTGAAGGGTTGGAAATGAGAATTCCACGAACTTTGACTCCACGTTTTCTTGCTTGACTATATGCTTGTTCAAGAGCAGTGATATTTAGATTAAAATTGTCAGTACTACGACAGTGAACGGGTATTAGGTCTACCCCTGGACGCCATCTCACATCCCTGTCAAAGCTGCATAATTCCTTTTATTAGCTTTTAAAATTAGCATAAGGAATACAAACCAGGAGCTCAAGAAAGTGCCGTCAATTACCCCGGATAATAAGGTGTGGGGACAAGGAATGCATTTCCAGGGTCTGCCAAGCAGAAGGATAGTATCTCAATAGCAGGAGTTGCTCCAGATGTTAGTACCATATTAGATGGGTCAAATTTCACCGATCCTCCCATCACCTGATGCATAAAGTCAGACAAGGCCTGCAAAATCAAAGCAAACAACAATAGCTCAGACAATAAAACAATGACATGACCTTAAATGAACTAAATTTGCACATAGCACATTATAAATAAAAGGAATATAGAAGAACAGTGTCCAACTCCACTATCAAAGATGGCCAAAATAACGAAAACGGGAAAACATTTGAATTTCAATCTTTAAGACAACAAATAATTTAATTAAAACCAAAATGCTCATTTACTGCATTAAGACAAAGGTATTTATTTTCAAAAGCTGGCGAATACCCTGTTTGTTAAAAGAGAATTTTGAAATGTAATGACACTAAAAGCTCAAGTTCTTCATTTAACATATGAAGAATGCTACCAACAGATTCTTTTGAACACTCTTTTTAACACACTCTATTATTGCGCCACATCCCACACTTCGCTTTATAAATTATCTTTTTCTTTTTTTGAATTATTAAACAAGTATGAAACACGGCCCATAATAAAGATATGTTCAAAAGGAGAATAAATCCTCTCATGTTTTGTTTTTAACATAACCATGTTATGGGCAAGACATCAGTCGTTCATTCATAGATCAATGGTCAGCATTTAAAATGACAACTTCCACTTTCTCGTTTTACAAACTCCTCATTAAAATTTTGACCGTTAATCTAAGAATGAATGGCTGAGATCTTTCACATGACATGGTCATATTAAAACAAGACATGAGATTAATCATTCCCATTCAAAATAATGTGTTGGTGGCATTCCTCTTAACATAATGAGAAGCAAGATACGTTCAGATCTAGGATTGCAATAGCGGCTCTTTTGCGCGCTATACCAGTCCAGGAGCGGGTTGCGGCTGCTGGAAATCGACACACAAATCGAAAAACGAAAAGAGAAAGGGAAGAGAGAAATTTGACACAGTGATTTATCTTGGTTCACCCAATGTAGGCTACGTCCAGCTTATCTGTACTATATTCACCTCACCGCCACTCGTTACAAGTCACTCGGTTTACAAAGGAATATAAATAAGATTTAGAAAACCCTAACAGCAATAGTTACAAACCCCAATTGCCTTTCTGCTGACCCTGTCAATAAGGGCTCTCATCTGTATGGGAAGTATGAGCCATATCCAACAGCGGCCATCTGATGCGAGAACCGCACCACACCGCCACCGTTTCTGTTAGTGTCTGGTGGCTGCCGCAACCAGAGGTCGCGGTTTGCGTTTATCGCATCGAAACAGGACTGATTCAGGAAAAAAATCGATTTGTGGGAAAATGGTAGTTGATAGAAAATTTGATAAAAATTAAGGGTAAAACCATAAATGGAGAAGATAAGTTGAGGGTAATATGGTAATTTTCGTTTAAAAAATCTCACAAATACTCACTCTTCTCGCTCACACTTTCGTTTGTTCGTTCTTCTCTGTGTCACACTTCTTCTCTGCATCTCTTCTCTTCTCACTCTCCTTCCTTGCTGCCACCTCGACGACCAGAGCTAAAACAGAGGAAGAGGACAGCACCACACTGGTGTGGGCTTGAGAAGACGAAGGCTCTTATTCTAGAAGGTGAAGGACACATTGAAGCTGAAGGTCAGGGAATAAGATTGGGTTCTATTTGCCTCTGTTACTTAACTCAGCTTCCGTTTCTTCTACTTTCCAGTTTCTACGATCTGCTTCAGGGTTTTTTTTTTTTCCCCTATTCTGTTTTTAATAAATTCATCATTTTAAATCTAAATAAACGTCCACGTCTCTGAGACTGTAATGACATTATATATAATTGAAAGCAACTATTTTTCCGTTTCAGTTTTATTTTTTTTCTGTATTTTTTCGATTCTATTTTTGTTTTCGATTCTGCAATTATTTTTGCTTTGTGCACCTTTTTCTTCAATGAGCTTTATTTTAAATATTTAAATCCTCTTTTATCTGAATGCTCATATCTGTAAACTGTTTTAAACTTCAGAAAGTGGGTTGACAGCAATGATAAAATGTTACATTTACAGTTTTAGTAAATATAAATTAGTATGTTGGTTGCTTCCTTTGTTACTTGAATTGAACTAGCATTTAGTTTATTTCAATGAACTAGCATGTTGGTTGCCTCCTTTGTTACTTGAATTGAATCATTGTTTGGAATGTGTTATGTCTTTCGTGTAGTTTAATGGTCATCCCTTTTATTTTGGGTGAATTCCTATTATTGAGCATGTATATATGTAAGGTATAATTTAGTAAAAGTATTAATATGGACTTTGCAATAGCGGCTGCTACCAACCACTATCTGCTATTTAAAACCTAGGTTAAGATATGTTACCATTAATAATAAATAAAAACCTATCAACCAACGGGATATATTATTGGTGCTCCTCTAGTACATACTACACCCACTTAAATTATAACACATGGACTTACGTTGCATCCATGAAGAAGCTGCCATTGCCAAGAAAATTGGTGTAAGTGCAATTAGGTAAGTCCATGTGTTGTTATTTAAGGTGGTGTCCAATGTACTACATGAGCACCAAAAATTTAACCCTGGCAACAAGCTTGTAGCTCAACCTGCGCCGCCTCTGAAGCAGGGAGTGTAAATTGTGTAATGATAACATTAGAGCTTCAATCCTCCACTACACCACCTATCCCTTTCTCCTACTCAGGTGCTAGCAATTCCATTGTAACATAATAATAACAACAACAAATATTAACAAAGCTATCAAAAATCAATACCTTAAAGCTACTAATAACAACACAGAATGAGAATACATATGATTTTCATCAAACAAGCACACTTCACTCCATCATTCATTCCCCCAAGTATATATATACTAATAATGCAGAAGAACCAACCTAAACCGCTATTGCAAAACATCACCAGAAGCAGCATTAGTATAATCTAACACAATCACAGAAATCTCTCTTACCATTTTCAATTCCCCCAATCCATCAAAGGGCTGATACGGTGCAATCCCATTAATACACAAACTCACATCGCCACTCCCCATCAACGATCCCTCCAAGTTCCGCGACACCCATTTCCCAATCAAATCCAAACACAACTACAAAAACCAAAAAAAAAACAAAAATTAGCGACATAACCAGAAAAGAAAAAAGACAAAAAACATGGTAAGAACCTCAAAAGAACCAACCAACCTTGTTATCGGACAAACCTAGCTGAATAATTCCATTGGGGTTGTTGGAAATATCGTAGGGATCGCGGGACACTCTTTCCAAGCCAACGTAATAGAGGGAATCATCATCGGGTTTGGCGATGTGGGTAGCGAGCTTTGAGACCCGAACCCGAGAAATGGATCCACGGGTCGACAAGTTGGAGCGGGAAGAGGAACGAGGGAGGTTTGGGGATGAAGGAGGAGGAGGGTCAAAGGTGGGACGGCGTCGTTTGAGGTACATTTGGAGAAAGTAAAAGAGGGCACAAGGGATAAGGGTACCGAGGAGTAAGCCTCCACGACCTTGAACAACGCCTTGGAGTGGCACGATTAGCTTCATGCCCGAAGAAGAAGAAGATGATGATGATGATGATGAAGAAGAAGAAGAAGGGTTTGTGGTTTCTCGGGTATGGTGTTTTGGGTTGGTGGGTTTTCGGGTTGGGGTCATTGACCGCCGGTGACGGAGAAGAACATAGGGTGGATGGGTTTGGTTTGTGTGGTTTGGAAGAACAATGTACAAAGGTGCCAACCAGTGTTTTTTTTTGTCTCCGTCTGTGTTTTTATTATAATTTTGTCTCGTATTACTAATATCTCCTAATTATACCATCGTCACCCTCCTCGTACATGTAACACTTATATTTAATTTAAATTATTGTAATAAGAATATTTTTAAAAAATATTTTAATCGGTTCATTGTTTCGTGGTTAGTTTAATTCGGAATGGGTTTAAGATTAAGACTTTAAATTCCTCTTCAATGGTGATACTGGGAAAGATCGAACACATACTCTCATCTCTACTTATTCAACTCTCATGCACCAATTGAACTATTATTATTTGATTGTAATAAGAATAAAATTCTAAATGATTTTCGTACACATAGATAAAGGATTTGTTTGCTTCTCTAATTATGTGCTTCTCTTTTTTGGTATTGTATATTTGTTTCTTTTGTCATACAATAATATATGGAATTATGCCGGCATTCTATGGTAAGTCCAAATATATAAAACTTTAATGCACTTAAAATAATTTCTTTAAAGACTACAGAGTATCTTCGAAATTTTTTATTTTTTATTTTTGGTAAAAAGTATCTTCTAATTTTTTATTTCATTTTTTGTATGTTCAAGCTTAACAATCAATTACAAGGGATGCGTTAAAAAAAGAAGAAGACGAAAATGAAAATCCAATATGATAATAACTAAAATGATTAAGAAAATAAATCATCTGATATTATTATTGTTGAATAGTGTGGTCAGATTTCTGAAATTATAAATATGATAAAGAAATTGGGGGGAGGCAACTCGGGAGGTAATTAAGATTGAATTAATTCAAAAAAAAAAAAATCAAATTTTGTAAATTTGAAAGAAGATGAAAATGTAAACGAAAAGAAATACCGGTGACTGTTCTAGTGTTTAGTAAGGTCAAAAACGTAATAATATTTCGTTTTGTTATATTCAAAAGTTAATATGTGTATGGAATACGGTATACTTATTTTTTTTAATACTAATCTATCTCTAAAATTCTAATGAATTCGATCATTTGTGCTATCTAGCTGCGAGTTAATTAAATTTTGAACTAGACTAGCCAAACATAAAATTAGTACACGTTTAAATTATTTTAATTATAAAAAGTAATATTTATTTTTATCATAATTCCTAAAAAAGTATTTAAAAAATAAGAACCACTTTTCATAAATTAACGTTACCAAATGAAGCAATTAATATAGGTTAGCATTAAATAATAATAAAACCAATTGGAATAGTGAAACATATAAGAAATTTTAAAATGTAGGGGGCTGAAAGCAATCATTAAACATGGAATTCATATATATATGACGGTGAATAAACAATCAAATTATACTTTTGATATGTTGTTGGGGTTATTCACGGTGATTCCACTATAAAAATGATGAATGGTATGTGTATGATGCAGATTGTTACACTATAATTGGACAATATTTTCCACAAGTCAATCAATTTGACAATGTTTCATGAGGGGTAATGCTAAGGACACATACATTGAATCACTAAAAGAGCAACAAGTCAGTCACCTGTGAATTATACAGGATTTGTTTTTGTGTTTTGCGCCTACATTTTGAGAGTTTATTCATCAACTTGCATTAAACCATTTGCCATGTGGAAGTATCAAAACTATTTTTATTTTTTATAAGAAAATATATTTAATGACTAATTATCTCATGCAACATATAAAAAAGTGAGCGAGATCTTTTTTTTTTTTTTTTCCCTCTTCTTCTTAGTGGATCCATGTAACATGAAAAACATATTCTCCTTATATATATCTATGTTAGGTTTATTTTAAGTCATATGAGTTTTATTTTAAAAATTTGGAAGTACCTTTGTTTCTATGAGGTTTGACTATGATAATATCCCATGAGCATCATCGATTTAATTATACCTATGGTAATATTTAATTAATTATTGCCATGATGTAAATTAAATTGTCAACTCCAATAACACAAGCACCAGTGGTCTAGTGGTAGAATAGTACCCTGCCACGGTACAGACCCGGGTTCGATTCCCGGCTGGTGCATCGTTTTTAAATTTCCTTTTTAACATATTTTGAATTGCAAATTCGTGTGGGAAACTCTTTTTATGTACTGCTCCACATGCATGTATTGTTGAATCATTTCACAATAAACTTCCACTTCCACAAATACAACTGATATAATCATTTAGCAGATATGTTATAGTGCTTGCAAACGTATATAATATTAATTATATAGTAACAAAAATCATTGATTTTTGCAAATTACTTCAAGACACATTCTTTCTGGTTACTTGCTTCTGGTGATGAAGGCCTGATGTGAATGTTCTGTAAGGTACAATTGATCCATCCATCACTTTCTTTGATCCACTTGCATGTGAAAAAGTCCAATTTCCAACCACCATGTGATATGTAGCCCATAATTGTGTTGTGTACTGTATTCATCGTACATTCATCATACTCCAAATAGTTTTTGTGACAATTTTAATTAAATGACTATACGAGATATCAATTAAATAACAATTTTCACTATTTTGTTTTATGAATTTCTTTATTTTGTGACAATTTTAAATTGTGATAGTTTAATTTATGAATGACCGGATGAGATTTTCGCCTAATTAGATTATGAGTTTAATATTTCTCATGTTGTAAGAGATAAATTATCTTCTACATACATATAAAAGTGTATCAGACTCATATAGGTTCATATCAGAAAAAGAAAGAGAAAACATAGACACAACATACTTTTATGTGTGTAAAAGATAAATTTATCTCCTATAACATTAGAAACACTGAACCATTAGATTAGATGAAATTTCGACTACGTCTCCACGAGGTGGAGAAAAGTTTAAGTGCTCTGGGAGCACTTTTTATTAAATGGGGCTGAGGAGAGACCAAAAAAGGGGGAAAAAATACAGGTCACTCCCTTAATAAAAAGATCACCAAAGTCCCAGAAAATTTTTACGCCACAAACTAGTCATATTGGTTAAAAGTTTGTTTTAATTTTAACTAGCTATAGATGTTTATTCGTCAGGCTCACACCAACTCATCAAAGGTATGTGTAGGGGCCAGTATACATTGCTTGCTTTTGTGATATAGTTACCCTTTGATATTAATGTAGCAATCAATCAGGACAAGTGCACTCCCCAAATAAAGAAGGTGATGGTGCCTTTGTATCCTAAAATTAAAGAGAGCAAGAATTTTGCTCAACTCTCCAAAACCGATTCTAACATAATCAGTTATATTTAAGCTATTTTTCAAAATCAAATTTTATTTTTTTTATATAATAGTGAAAATTGAACACGTAACTTAATATAAACTACTCAAATCTCTCACACTAGATCAATATTATTGGTTTGACTTCATTTAATTGTCTCTGTTCTTTGGTGAATAAATTTTTAGACGAGACAATTTTTTTTTTTTTCAATTTCGTTTTGTTAAAAATGTTATGAAAAATAAACAATATTTTTTCTGTCTAGAAATACTCAAACAAGCGTAAAATTTTAATCATACATGTTTACAAAAATAAAATAAAAAAATTATTTATACATTTCCTAATCCTTTTGTAAGCCATAACATTTACATGCTCACTATCTAATTGTTTTGTTTGGGAGGGCATATATACTTATTTTTTGTAATATATATTTTAGATTTCACATATCTATATACTACTTTCGGCTATGATACTTATTTTAGCATGTTAATTTGGCTTATACAACAACCCTCATTTTAGTGTGTAGACATAAATCAGAACTCAAATTCAATGACCAGTCACGCCATGCATGATAACCCTTCTGCAATATGCACCTAGTTTACTTTCTTGCACAAAGGACATAAAACTAGAAAATGACAACTGATTCTACTGATAAAGTCCATTCAGTAATCACACAAAAATTAAAATTATTAAAGAAATATAAAATCATTAATATAATCTCACCTAACACTTTAAATTTTTGAATTGAATTGATTCTTTTACATCACACAATTCTTAGAATACCGATAAATAAAGTCACCCGCGTATCTACAGGAAACAGTGGGAACCTCTAGCCCAGGAACAGATATCAAATTCAAATACTTGTGCAGATTACATACATTAATGCCTCCCTTGATAAAAAAGGATCGATCATGTATCAAAGTGTACATATATAATGGAGACATGATCCTTGGACACTAAATTTTAACCGCTGATTTTCGTTATAATTATTGGATAATTGGGTCATATTTATTAATTAATTAATAATTCTTAATAAACTATAACCGTCAAATTGATGAAAATCAACGATTAAAATTTGATATAAAAGGATCCTTTTCCACTCACACACACATATATATATATAGGAGTTTGCATTCATCATTTAACATGACACAAAAAAGTTTCCTACACACACAACATTTTGTGGGACCCACACTTTTTGAAGCAAAAAAAAAAAAAAACTACGGCACGCAAAACGAATCTCTATAACATTATACAATCACTTTTCCTACAACATAACTCTTAAAAAACCCATATATATATATATATATATATATATATATATATATATATATATATATATATACAAAGGATCAAGAAGATCTCTGACAATCTGTTGTTTATTTACGTTAAAATCTTAATCTAATGCTCAGTTGATAAAAGTTAATTTACATCTATCTCTGTATTACTATGGATCCAAATGATGGTTCAGATATCTGGGAAATACATCTGTTTTATTATCATGTTTAAATCTTTCTCTTCTAAGCTCTCTTTCAAATCATCTCAGCCATCTTCTTCTTCCATCCATAAAGATCAAGTTAAAAATCATACAAAAAATATTTTTAAAGAAGAAATCTCCTTTGAAGATATCAATCAAGATCTCGATAACTGGGAAATTCCCAGAATTCCAACTAATGAACTATACAAACCCGAAGGAAACTTCTTTCGGAAATCTGACTATATCATCAGAACAGTTGAAAGAAATATCCCTTTAAATAAGGAATTTGAAGAATTTCAACTACTTTCAAAATCGTCTATACAAACTCATAAACAAAGTTATAACTATCTGCACATTGGATGTGTCCAAGTGGCTATTAAACCTCTTGGAATTGAAGGTCTAAATGCTTCTGTTCTTCTATGCCTTCGTGATACAAGGCATAACAAATTTACAGATTCTATACTTGGAACTGCTGAAACAAGCCTAAGCAATGGACCAATCTTTTTCAATTGTTATCCTAATCGTATGGTTAGTCTTCAAGATAAAAATATCTTGGATGTCTTAACTTTGAACATTGAGACAAGTGGTCTTGACATGAAATCCGGATCTATTCCAGCAGCTTTGCTTTTTAGGATTCAATATAAAGTATTGAATTCTTCCATCTCTAGGGTTCTTAAACCCAAGAAAACTGGGAAAACTACTTTGTTCCTTACTGACATGTCTAGAGCAAATGTCACTGTTCCCAAAACCATCCGTTGGACTGACATAGTCCTACCAGATAAATGGAGGCTTGAGAAGGCAACACCTGCTCAACCTAGAGATACTCCAAACTTTAGAGAAATCAAGCAGTTCCCAAGTGGTGCTGTTGAAATAATCTTCGATAGAAGAAACTCTTTCAGTTCTGCAAGTTCTTCCAGGTCTGTTCAAACTCAAGATTTTCGTTCTGAAGATTTTCAATCTGCTCTTTCAAGGAGATCTTTCTCTACAATCTCTGAACCTAGTAGGTTCAATCTCCATCTCCAAGGTTTGGACACTTCTTCTTCTATTCCTAAACCTTCATATACCCAAAAAGAAGAAGAAAATGAACAAAGTATCATCCAATCCCCAAAATCTATTCAATCTCCAACCTATTCCTCTATGCATAATTCTTATGATGTTATATAAGTTCATTATAGATAAGGAAACCCTTAGGAAAGACTTTAATTCTGAGGAACGGTCTCCTCAAAAAGAATGGTTCTTCCAAAATTATAAGGGAATTAAAAGACAACTAATTCAAGAAGAATTTTATAACTTTCTTGACAAGGTAGAGTTAAATATTCCTTTCTTTGATTGGTTTCAAGCTTATTCTGTCCAACAGGACATTGATTATCCATTCAAGACTCCTCAATCTGCTAATGTCATCACCGATTGGCACCTGAAAGAAGAAGAGATTATCAAGTCTGAATTTCCTCCCACAACTTCTTTCTATCTCCCAAAAGTTTGTGATAACAAAAGTAGGTATGTTCTTGCTTCACCTTTTAAATTAAAAGATGAAAATGAACAAGTCTCTCCAATGGATTTTAAAAATCTTATTGAGCAATCTAATTACACCAACAAATATCTTCAAGTTTTGGGTGAAAAACTTATCAAAACTATTGAACCTTCATCCTCTGCATCTTCTTCTAAAAACTTAGAAAAACCTTTGTTCAAACCTTTCAAAATGAATGATCAACTTAGAAAAGAGTTTGCAAAGTTAAAACCTGCTCAATCTCAGTCTCAGGATGAATTTCTTAAAAAAATTGATGAGAAGTTAAGTACATTAACCATTCCTGATACCCCACAACATTCTGATCAAGAGACTCAACAGTCTCATAAACATAACACTCGGTCAAAAACTATCAATACTCTGAATCATTATGATGAATCTCCTGAGTCAGATAACAAATCTGAAATTAAAATTAATCCTATAACTGGTATTAATAATTGGAGAAACCCTTCCAAACTTTATTACCAAAAAGCAACTGCTCCTGATCTTCTACTTGAAGAAAAGAATACAAGTTTCAAAAGTTTTAATGGTAACAACGTCTATGAATGGAACATAGATGGTCAATCAGAGTATAACATACTCAATATAATGCACCATATGACTATGGTTGCAACTGCCTATCAAACTTCTCATAATTGTTCTGAAGCAATTATAGTCAATATTATTGTCTCTGGCTTCTCTCGTCAACTCAAAGGTTGGTGGGATAATTATCTTTCTGAAGATGAAAAAAATTCTGTTCTTAATGCCATTAAAGTTGATCCTGATGGCATTCTTATAGTCTCTGATGGAAAAACTATTCCAGATGTTGTTAATCAATTAATCTTCACCATTATCCAACATTTCATTGGTGATCCATCCTTATGGAAAGATCGTTCTGCTGAACTCCTATCCAATCTTAAATGTAGAACCTTAGGTGACTTTTGCTGGTATAAAGATACCTTCCTAACTAGGGTTTACACTCGAGATGATAGTCAACAACCTTTCTGGAAAGAAAAATTCTTAGCTGGTCTTCCAAAATCTTTAGGAGACAAAGTTAGGGATAAAATCCGTCATCAATCTCTAACTGGAGATATCCCTTATGAGCAATTAAGTTATGGACAATTAGTTGCTTATATCCAAAAGGTAGCTTTAAAAATCTGTCAAGATGATAAAATCCAACGTCAACTTGCAAAAGAAAAAACTCAAAATCGTAAAGATCTAGGATCATTTTGTGAACAATTTGGTCTGCCTTGTACTACAAAACCTAAAAAACAGGAACAAAAACAGGTTAAAACTTTTAGGAATTTTCGTAAGAAACCCAATTACAATAAAAGGTTTAAAAATGAAAATCCTAAGCCAAATACTGAAACAAATAAATCACAAAATACATCCAAACCAATTAAGCCAACTATTTGCTACAGCTGTGGTAAACCTGGACATATTAGTAAATATTGTAGGCTTAAGAAAAAACTAAATAACCTAAACCTTGATCCTTCTATTGAAGAACAAATCAATAATCTTCTAATCCAGTCCTCGGATGAAGAATCTGGAAAAGAATCCTCAGAAGATTTAAACCAAATTCATGAAGATGATCTATCTTCTAGTGAGGACTCACAATCCTCGCAAGAAATTAATGTCTTGACTAAAGAACAAGATCTTTTGTTCGAGGTCATAGATTCAATCAGTGATCCCCATGAAAAGAAAGCTTACTTAGCAAAATTAAAATCATCCTTGGAAACCAGTTCTTCTAAATCTAAAGAGTTGTTGGTTCCTAATAAGTTTAATCTTAAAGATACCCTTAAAAAACTAGAAAAGAGTATTACTGTCAAACCTATAACTGTCCAAGATCTTCAGTATGAGATCAATATTCTCAAAACTGAAGTTAAACAAATCAAAGAACAACAACAAACTCATCAGAACATCCTTCTTCAATTACAAAATGAAGAATCAACGGGAACGAGTATGGAAAATACTCTGTCTAAACCAGATGAAGATAAAAATCTTAAAGACGAAGAATTTTTAGGATTAATTAATCAATTAACAATTCAAAAATTCTATATCCCAATCAAACTCAATGTAGGTAATTTTGACCTTGAAATTGAAGCTCTGTTTGACACAGGGGCAGATTCAAACTGCATTCAAGAAGGTCTAATTCCTACTAAATATTTTGAAAAGACTTCTGAACGGCTTAGTACTGCTAGTGGTTCAAAACTTCAGGTTAATTATAAACTTCCGAAAGCAATCATTGAAAATGATAATTTAAAAGTTGAAACACCGTTTCTCCTTGTTAAAAACCTCAAAAATGGAGTTATTCTTGGAACTCCGTTCATCAAATCTCTTTTTCCTCTAACTATCACAGATGAGGGCAGAGAAGGTTTTGTACTTCACTTATGCTGTAAATCAACAGAATGGCACCAAGGCGGACCTAGAATTTTGTTTTTGTAGCTAGTTTGAAAATTATTGTAATTCCACAAAACAGGAAATGGTATATAGTGATGATTTTGGTTAGCCACCTTTATGCTAAATAGAAAACTAGATTAGAAATGCAATAGAACGTAGGAAAGGAAAAATAACAAATGGGATATACAATATGTCTTGCTGGACGGTGACTTCCAGAGGGCTGATACTTGTTGACACTGAATTTGTGACGTATGCAATCTGAGTTACTTGTAATTAATAATTGGTGTTTCTTCATGTCTAATCTGTTTAATCTTTCCTCTCATGATTTGTTTAACCTTAGTGTTTACTTAACAGGTAGGTATACTGGGAAATGCTGCTGATTTTTACGAGGATGGTTCAAATAGTGACTCTATGGACAGCATGGACAGGCGACAGATGATGATTGCATTTGACATGAGGTATGGCCTGGGAAATTGTCATTGAAGTATATGTGCAACTATATAATCTATTTGACACCTTATTATCTGTGTTGCAAAGATGTGTGGGTTTCATAATGGTGAAAATGGTAATGCGAGAGCTTATTGATCCTTTGATCTTTTCAAAGTTCAAAACATTCCTCACTAAGGTACGAGAAGCTAAATTCTTTAGTTAATATTAGCCTCTTGACTGTTTAAAAAGTACTCAAGTTTTTTCTTTTTTTGTCTATATTAATCTGTTTGTAAAGAACCAATTCAATTTAAAAATCTAAAAGTTTAAGCTGTTAGGTGAAGACCACATTAATGATTCTATATTATATTTTTCTAACATTCCCTTTGCACAATGTAAAGGTGAAGACCACATTAATGATTCTATATTATATTTTTCTAACATTCCCTTTGCACAATGTAAATGCCCATCCATCTGTGCTAAGAGATTCTACAATATTTAATTATTTATTAATGAAATAGGGGCGGTGAGGATCGAATTCATGATCACTTGGTCAGAGAGACTTTGATACCATATAAAGAATCAATTCAGCCTAAGAGTTTAAGTTGTTAAGTGAATACTGCATTGATGGTTTTAGATTATATTTTTCTAAAAATGTTAAGCAAGTGCCCAAGAATGGCTTCATGTCTCTAGTATGCCCCGTCGTACCAATTAATACTTAAATAACTTGTTCTTTGGGCCCATATATATATATATATATATATGGTCTTACCATAGTAAGATGTTGAGTGACTTACTCTGATATAGTTATCTATTAGCTTCAAATCAATATAGAAGTATTTTACCAGACTCTTCTAATTCCTTTCTTTTCTCAAATATTTCATCTCTATACATCTACTTTCTGTCGCCTTGTTTCAGATAGTGTACCTAATGTCAAATGACTCATGGTAATTAAGAAGGGAAATCATTAAAACAATTTGAAAGGGGAAATTGATGAATATGTAGACAGATGTGCTTCAAATGTTTCAATGTTGCCTATTCTTTGACTGAAGAAACATACAAATTATAGAAAAATAGACGATGAAAGGGTCATGCAATGATATGAACTTTCTAACGATAATTCCTGCCACATGCAACTTCAGGGATATGATCCTTCATGTTTGCGAGAGCTTATGTTGGAAATCCTTGGTAGAAGTTCCCCATATGGAAATGCTGGCTTTCAAGTAAGTTTATGTTTCTTCAGTGAAAGTTACTTAATATTTAGAGTTCCATTATTG